GAAAATGGCACCCTGCCAAAGACACTCAATAAATGGGACACACACTGTAAATAAAAAAATCAAAGCAACTTGCTTAAAGTGACAAACTTAAGAATTTAAACATTTTGTGTACATGTCATATGTCCTTTTTGAGTACAGCCAGATCACGTAAGTACATAGTTTCAGTTCAAAAAGCGAAGCCTTTGAGCTAATTCAGGCAGTCAACTCAAGCGTCATACAACAGGAAAATACCTCCCTCTCCCCACGTCATTTAAGCTGACATGTCAGTGCTGCTGCTCGCGTGCATACCTGCCGGCTCTTTCAACCCTTCACTAGCCCAGCATCCCAGTGGGGAGTGATCTCAGAATCCAGACGTCAAACTATATTCTGCTGCTGCTGTAAATATTCTGCGTAAACCAAGCTGTTGTTGTTGTGTTTAATTACCTTACATTATGTAGCTATAAGTAACATAATTTCTACTCAAATCATATGATTAATTCATTTTTATAATATTTACAATATTGTATTTAAAATATTTACAATATTTCCATAAAATAATTTTTCATATTTTCCTTACTGAGCAATAACCAAGTTTGTATCAACTTCCATAAGACATCTTACCTCAAATATCTTACCTTTTTTGGCACACTTTATGAATCTTTTCAAACACACTAATAGTAATCTACATAGCAACTCATTTCACACATGGCATCAAAACCTATTCCAATATGATGGCAGATAAAACACAAGCTGAGCAGCTGAACTGTAACTGTAAATGAAAAAATATATAATAATTATGTGTAGCAAAGCTAAGATTTGTTAATGCTAATCCCACTCTCTATGTGTTACAGTATTAATGAACTATGTGCAGACTATAGTGTATAGATGGGCGAGATACAGGCAAAGAAAACAGACCAAAAAAATTAGTAGGGCGTTGCAATATGCCAAGAATCTCCAGGAAAAATGAGTCAATACTGCTATTTAATGCAATTCCAAAGGAATGTGTTTCATCAGTGACCTACACTGTAAAAATAGAAGAAAGAAAACTCAAAATATCAAGGCAACTAATTCAACAACTTTTGAGTTTTCTCAGCTTTTGACTGTTGTTGCTCACTGACAATTTGAACTTTATTATTTATAATATTTCCATAAGTTTAACAGTAAAATATTTGGTTTGGCAATTATTCAGGTTTGGTACCAGCAGTGGTATCAAGTGATCTCAAATGATCAGTGATCTTGGGACCTCTCATGTGTTATGTAAACTTTTTAACCCCTACAATATTGAAATACATTAACCTTTTAAAATTTTGCTATAATTGTATCTGTGCTACTGAATCAATGAAATCAAGAGCATACAGCTGAAAGTTAGCTTAAATGTTATGTGTTATAATAGTGTAGGTGTTGGCACATTCACCTCATTTGTAAAACGTCTGCTTTTCGCCATTGAGAGGAAGCAAAGCAAATTTTAAGTCAGTGGTTACCAATTATTGTACAAGCCCTGCTGGTTCCAATCCAGGAGAGATAGGACGGTTGCATCTAGCTTAAAAAAACTGCCAAACCAATTCTGCAGATGTTATTGACACTAAAGTTTGTTTGTTTGTTTTTTGTTACTTAACAAGATATTCTTTTTTATTTGAAGCTGGGAATGCATACTACTGAAGCTGGAATTTTATTGTTAGCCTCAGAGGTATATTGTAATTATGTGATGAGGAAAAATGAAGTTGCCAAACCTCTTGTTTAATCTTGTATATCTTAGTAAATTAAAAATAAAATTTACAAAAACAATACAAAATTTAATAAACTGGCAAAAGTTGAGAAAACTCAAAAAGCTACTGAATCATGTTGATATTTTGAGTTTACTTTTTTTTTCCAACTTTTTACACTGTATGCAGCAGCACAAATGGTATTAGACAACTAGTAAGTAGGCTGATTTACATGTTTTAAACTAGACGGTTTACTTTTAAACACCATTATTTCTT